GGGACCACAATCAACAGAACTGGGCCTTTCAAAGAAAGCATGCGACAGCCTTTCTTCATCCAGACGACAGCAATTATGTAGGCGTCTACGGTGTGCCAGGGCGACTTTGCCCCAGTGGGAGTGATTCGAAAAACCACCATTTCGAATTCATACGCGATGATCCTCTAATACTAAAAATAAATTCATCAAAACAAGGGCTCTGAGATGCCCGCTCCAGACCTGGGGGTGTAAGGACAGAGAGCGGGTTGACCCTGGGAGGTCTCTGGGGTCATCTTCTAGCTTTAGTCTCTGCCTCGGTCGTTCCTCCGGTCCCCTCTCCCTACCTTTCTCACATCCCTGCACTGGGTCGGCCCTTGGACCCACCTTCTGCCCCTGTCCCAGTCCCAGCTGCCCCGGACGGGTAGAAAAGTTTCCGGCGCTGACACCCGTCCCCACCCCTTTCCAGGGCACAGCTGCGAAAAACGGCCTTAGGCGGGTCTCTGGGGCCCGGGAGGCTGTGGTGTGCACGGGGGTGGGGTAGTGGTGTTATCTCTACTTTGTCTGGAACCCGGCCTGTCCAGACCTTCCTGCCCACCTCCCCCCACCCCCACCCCCGCTACCTAGATCTCTGAGCAGGAAGGTCGCAGCGGCGGGGAGCCACCGGGATGGGTTAGAGTTCCCGCATTCACTCCGCGCTCGCTGACGCCAGGTGGGTCGGAAGTGACTGGAGTTCAGAGCCCCAGACCCGACATGCCGGCTTTACGTTCCCACTGGAGAGATGGGGCTGTGGGGACGCTCTGAGGGACGCAGTCAGTTACACTCCCACCCCAGTTTGTGGAGTTTGGGCCTACAAACCCAGATTCTGGACTCTTCGAGCTGAAAGGACCCTGAGGCCGTGCTTTCCCGCATTTTACAGATGCGGAGCCTGGGGCCCAGAGGCAGGCTATACGACTTGCCCAAGGTCACACAGTAAGTCCAAGGTAAAGTAAAGACTGTGCCCTCTTTCCTTAGAAGCGCCTCTCCAGAGCCACTACCGGGATGGCGAGGTGTTTGTGTGTGCTACCAGGGCTCCTTCCGTGGCTGGGGGTGGGGGTGGGTGGGGGGAGTGCCAAATGAAATCAACTCAGCAAGGATATGTCCGCACACGCCTGCTTCTCTTCGAATACGTGTGCGATTCAGACAGAATCTCTAGGGCACTGTCAGGTGGGATGGAATCGCAGAGATTCTTCCAACCGTAGTATCTCGAATTCCCTGTTTCACACAGTAGGTAAGCTTCGGGAGCCAGAACTCGAATCCCCAGCTCGGGGCGGCCTGGGTGGTCGCCGCGTGGGTTTCACAGGACCAACCTAACCCGTGCGCGGAGAACAGCCCTCTCCCGCACCGCATGATGCGCCCGGCAGAGGGAGTTCGGGGAGCGCGTCCTGCTCACCCCACCCCCGCCTCCCCTGGGTGGGGGTTATTCAATGCCGCCCGTGCAAGCAGGTCTCCGGAAACTTCTAACCCCAAGGGACACTACCAGACCTGATATCCTAGCCACCTAGCTCAGCCTTACAGGCCACCAAACGCTGGCCCAGAGAGGTTACGTGAGTAGCCCGAGATTTCACAGCGCTTTGATAGCGGAGCCCGGCTTCCGGGCCTCAGTCCAGCCTCCAGGACTGGTCCCGAAGCCAAGGCGCTGAAAGCGGTCGGGCCTCACTGTGAGCCAACAGTCGCGTGGTTTCGTTCTCCGAGCAGCAGTGAGAGTCGGCTTTCGGGGTCCGGCCCTGTGCTAGGCACTGGGGCGGGGGGAGGGGGGGTAGCGACGGTGAAAGGAAACCATCCGGGAAGAAATTCAATTTATGTAAATCGAATCGCCTTTGAAAGTATTGCTTTTGAAAGAAAGCCCCAAAATCTTCCAAGAGCGTCCACCTGGGTATTGAGCCAAAGATCCCGCTTCTCTCAAGACACACCCCCTCTCTCCCCACCCTACTCTCTGTTCCTCCACCTCCAGCGCGTAGAGTTACAGTCGGGTCCGGGGGTTGGGGCTTTTTATTGCGCTCTGTGGGCCTGAGATAGACTCCCAAAGCCCAAGTCCAGCCCATTTTTCTGCTTTTGCTTCAGGCAAAGCGAGGCCTACAGGGCTCAGACCCGCTGCTCAGTTCGGAAACGGTCAGAGATGTCGCGGACATTTCTGTCCCAACCCGATGGGTCCTCTCTAAACCTCAAAAGAGAGGAAAAAAAAAAAAGCAAGCGTCCGAGAAGGAAAGCAGCTGATTCCAGGTTACACAGCTAGCCCTCATAGAGCTGATTCCTGCGTGAATCCTGCGCCTGGATCAGGGGACTGCCCGGCCCGGCCCGGAAAGTGGTTGAAGGAAAGGGGAATTTAACCAGATTTTTCAGAGAACCATGTAAACGACCTTTGTTACCACCATAGCACCCAGCAGGCCGGGGCGCTGGGACCACCTGTCACCTCTCCCAAAGATGTCAGGCCCGCAGCCCCTTCCCTTGGGGCCTCAACTCTCCCGTGTATCTAGTGGGGAGAATAATCCCTGAGGTGCGGTCCCCCAAGGCTCCATGAGATGAAGTTCCGTGGGGAAGCGGTAATTATCATTAGTCCACCCCTGGCTCATTCCAGAGCTGGGAGTCTGGATGCCAACGCCCAGTTGGAAAGTGTAGAGTCCATCCAGGTCTTCCTGGCCTTGGTCCCCACAGCTCCCAACTCAGATGGCTTGCTCAGGAGTAGTTTTTCTCCACGGGGGCTGGTGGAGGGGGGTTCTATCTCCTCTCGCATCAAGAATGAGAGGTCTAGGGGCAGAGAAATCGTCTTCCAGTCCTACTCTCTACACCCTCCCGCCTTATGATCTTAGACAAGTCCCTGCGCCTCTCTGGACCTCAGTTTTCCCTTCTCGGTACCACAAAGAGGACGCTAGGTGAGAGGATCCTTAAGCGGCTCCTGCCCATTACTGACCTTGCCCGATCTTCGGTTTAGCTAGGTCATACTCCCTCTCCATTGTACAGATAGGGAAACTGAGGTCCGGAAGAAGGAATGGACATACGGTTCTGAAGGAAGGAAAGGGAGGTCAAGTGGGCCTTGAAAGGACCTGGACACCCCTTTGAGAGCCAGCCTCGCCAGTCTCCCAGCCCCCTCCTCTTGCAGCTGCCGGTGTCCAGGCGGGTGTGGACAGGCGGAAGTGCAGTGTCACCGGCGCTGTCCGCCCTTTCCCCGCCTCGCCCAAACCGGTTGGTGAGGAGGGGGCGTGGCTCTCCAGATTTTCAGCCTTGGCCAGCCGAGGGCTCCCGCTCAGCCCCACCCAGGCCCGCCGCGCGGAGGAATGAAATGCTTTATTGATAAAATGATTATTCAGGCGATTGAACTAATCAAAGGACCCATCGACCGCCGTGAATTACATTCTTCGTAGACAGCTCGTCCAGAGAGGCCCGCGCAGACCCCGCACCTGGACACTCACAAACCTAGGTCTGGTCCCCAACACAAACACAACCCTTAGTTCTGGGCGCAGGCGCCTCGGAGAGTCCCTCCTGCTGAGAGACCCGCAGCCTATGGAAGTGAGGTCCGGCTGGGGAGTAAGGCTAAAGCTGAGGGGTTTCCAGATTCCCTTCCCTGAGCCCTCCCCCAAGGAATCTTTTGGCCCCCTCCTCCTTTTCCCTCCTCTGCCTCTTGGATCTCTGCCCTCACCTCTTTCCAGTCACAAATTCGGAAACACGTCTGTACCCGGGGAGTGTTCCTGAGTTTGGAGTCTAAGTTCTCCCTTCTCTGCCCTTTGATCTGTATTTTGGGCTGGGGTGAAGGTGGGGGTTCACAAATGGAATAGGGAAGGAGGAATGCTGGGGGAAAGGGGGGCTCTGGAGTAGTGTGGAGAGTGTGTTTGTATGTGGGTTAGCCCATGTGGCCTGGTGAGTGAAAGAAGCCCCCAGACCTGGTTAATGCTTCAGGGCAGATAGGGGCCTCCTGCAGCCTGCCACCTACCACCTCCTCTCAGACTTAAATACACCTTGCTCCCCAGTGCCTGGGCCTGTGGGAAGCACACACCAGGCCCTGTGCCAGAAATGCTTGTGTGCGTACAGGCATCAAAGCAGAATGCCCAGGCTAAGCACGCTGGACACCCACCTGTGCTCTCCTCCACTGGAGCGATACCCACAGGATAAAACCTGAGCACACATACCCCAGTGCTAGAGGCTTGTCTGGGGAAAGCAAAGGCGGGCTGGGGGCCTGTAGAAATGTCACATCTAGCCAGTAGGCTGCCTGTTCACACCTGCCAGGGTTATGCCTGTCACAGGAGACCCTTTTGTACAAATGGTAGATTTGACAGTGCCTACAGAGTGAAGTAGTGCACACCACACACCAAGAGGCCGCACACCCTAAATGCATATCTCCACCCCTGCTTCAGTCTCCAACAGGATGGCACCTGGGCCTGACTGGCAGTCCCCCACAGGCCCCAGACACATCTCTGTGCCCAGAGGTAGGCACTTTTGCATGCACACAGTGGACAGCTTTCTCACTTCCAAAATCACTTGGAATATGATGGGTGAACACAGATCCTTAAAGGATCAGATGTACAGTCAGACCCTTATCCAAATGTCACTCGTGGACACACATTTTGGATACTCAAAAGACCATACACACAAACACCTACTTATAAACACACATGGGTATAAAGATACACACACAAACTCCTAGACACATATTCAGACATTTTATAACGCATGTAATACATCTACAAGGACACACACATTGTTACTCATACACAGAGTCCCTTATGTAAACAGACAGACTCAAATAAACTTACAGACCCCTGGGTAGGCACCCACATAAACATTCAGAAACAGAAAAACACAGGCAAACTCGCAGACACTTGGACTGATATAGAAGCTTGTTAACACACTGGCGAGAAGACACACAAACGCACCAAAGACAGACATACAGTCAATCCCTGCGAAAATGCGGCGTGCCCCCTCCTCCCCCAGGGCCAGCGCCTGGCTGTGTTCCGGAATTACCAAGCCTGGAGCCGGTATCGCGGTCCTACCTGTCCTGCCGGTCCGAGGAGTCGGGTAATTTTTCTCTAAATCCATTTTGATTTTTCAGGACTTGGTGGAATGGACAGGGAAAAAAGTTTCCACTTTTTTTGTGCCTTTTTTCTTTTCTTTTTTTTTTTTAGTGCCAGGGGCAGCTCACAGGTCGGAATAATTCAAGCCTTCCGCTCCCCCGCCGAGCTGGGGTAGCTGATCACTGAGCTGAAACTAAACGTTTTAGGTGGAAAAAAAGCGTCCGAAGGCACCGTGAAATGATTAAGGAACTAAAGAGCTTCTCGCCATGTGAGATCATGTCCTGTTCTCGCCAACATCACAAGATGTCCCCAGACGCGCCGCGCCCCCAGCGCGCTTCCCCGCACCGCCGGCCCCGCGCGGGGAAGGGGTGTCGGCGCCGCGCGGCCGGGCCTGCTTGGCGGGCCAGACCAGGCGCACCGGGCCGGACCACAGCAATGTCGGAGGCCCGAAAAGCAGCAGAGCTGCCGCCGCGCCACCCCGGACTTTTATAGGGGCGGGGGGAGGGAAGGAAGGCTTCAAACTGCGCGGAGCGCCAACCCGCGCGCCTAAGGGAAGGGGCACACGGGAGCCGAGCCCGGAGCCGAGCCCGGAGCCGAGGCCCCACGGCCGCACCCTCTATTGGACCTGCGTCTTGGGGTCTCGTCCCTACGCGCAGCGCAAGAGGCCGATGACCCCTCCATGTGCAAACCTCGCCACGTAGGCGGGAGCAGGCCGGGGTTTTGTTTTTAAAGAAATCAACCATTCTGCCAAGCAGGTGCTTTTGAAGGTGGTGCAAAGGCGAGCAGTGTTGCCAGGCACAGCGGGGGCGTTCCAATATCCTCAGATTCACCCCTAGGGCGGCGCCCGCCCCTAGGGCTCCTAGCCACCCCACCCCCTTCCCAGTTTGCAGCTCCAATACTACCGCCCGGCCCCTGACTCCTGGGCAGCGCCAGATCTCTAAAGCCCCCTGGTCGCACTCAGCCTCCTGGTCCCAAAGACCCTCCCCACCCCGCGTCCCACTCTGGCCCGGGCATGGAGGTTAAGCTGTGAGATGCTGGAGATAAAATCCGGGCCTTCGCTTTGGAGTACCCCGGCAGAACAGAACCATCTCAGAAGGTCCTAGAGCGAGGCGGGAGCCCAGGACATCCTACCCTGGCCCATAAATGCAATCCCTCTGTGTCGGGGCCTCGAGAAGTTGCGGAGTCGTCGAGGCCCAGGGCTTGATTCCAGAAGGGAAACCAGCCCAAGAGAGACCCAGCAGAGGTGTGGCATGTCCAGCCAGCTCTCTACTGCCCAGGCTCAGGGCTTCCTTCCCCTCCCCAGTCCCAAGTCCAGCTGCTCTGCAGGGCCACTGGAAGCCCGTGGGGCCCCGCTGAGGAGTGATCGCAGGGACAAGATTCTCCAGGGCGGGGGGAGCACTCTGCAGGAGGACTCTCGGCCCGCCGGACAATGGCAGTTTCGGAGAGTGAATCGTCCCCAGCGAGAATGTTGTTTGTTTTTTGGAGGGGGTGGTCACGAGGCTGGGCCGCAATCTAGGGGGAAGAGCCCAGAGCTCGAGGGAAGGGGGGGCGGGGGCGGCGGGAACCGGACATCGCGTATCCACTGAGCCGATTTCGCCACAATCGGAAACGTGTCTGTGGATTCCCGGGCTGCCGCCCCATCAAGTGATCTGAGCAGTCCCGTTGCGCCACCTCCTCCCTGCAGCCTGCGGGTCCCGGTTCCTGCCCGGGCGATTTGATTTCTGGCGGTCTCCGAGCGCTCGGCTTTTTCCCTCCGCTGCCGGGCCACAGTCCTGGCTTCCCGCCCTCCCGCCTCGCCCGCTCTGGGAGGCAGCGCCGGGGAGGAGCGGCCTGTCGGCGCCTTGAGATCAAAAGCCTTCCCGGAATTGACATTTCACCCCTGGCTGGGGGCGGGGGGTGTTTGAGGCTTTTTCTGTTTAGAGGGTTTGTTTTGTTTTTGTTTGTTTTCTGTGAGTTTTTTTTTTTTTTCTTTATCTAAGAGAGAGCCTTTTGTTTCGGCATGTTTTCCGTGGTGTTTTTGTGTGTCTGTGTGTGTGGGTACGATTTTAGCAAGTTTTGCTCTGTGCGTCTTGGTCTTTTGGGTGGGTTTTGTTTTCTGTTTTGTGTGTTTTCATTTTGTGTGTTTTTTGTACTTTGTCCTCGCAGGTGATCTTTCTCTGTGTCGTTTGGAAGGCTTTTCCTTCTGCGCCCGCCGTGTTCTCATTTTGTTATTAGTGGGTTTAGCTCGTGCGTGTGGCTTTAGGTGAATTTTATATTTGTATTTTGTTTCCTTCGATTTTGATTTTATGAACTGTGTGTTTGGTTGGGGGTTATGGCTTATGTTTGCGTGTGTTGATTTTAGTTTTGGGGCTTGTGGCATGCTTTGGTGAGTTTTGCATGTATATTTTGGCTTTATGAGACTTTTGGACTAGAGATGGGGTACCAGCCGCTACTCTGTTCCTGCCCGCACCCAGAAAGGGCAGAGAATGAGGCCAAGCAGCACGAATGGTGGGTTTGCCGTGCTCGGAAATACCGTATCCCCGCGCCCCCGCGCCGCCGCGCCGTTCGGTGTACTGTCGGGGAGAACTCGAAACAAGTGTTCGTTCCCGAGGGGGCGCCCGCTCCAAGACACAACCCCACGAGTCCTGCGGCATCAGTGCGGGGGTCAGAATTCGCAGAGCCACCCCCCCCCTCCCCGCCCCACGCAGGGTACCCCGTTCCCGTGGCAGTTCCCTTGCCCGCTCTGTCAGCTTGTAGATCGGTCTCCCCTTGCGCCTGGTCAGCGCGCTTCAGGCCTCCTGGACTTCCGCAGCGTTGGGCGGGAGGGGCCGACTCCCGGAGTCGGAGCAGGTGGCGAAATACTTCGGTGGACCCGGAATTGATGCTGCGGCCCTAGAGATACGGGGCAAAGGGCCCGGGACGCAGGGAGTCTAGACAGAAACCAGCGTCGGGACCCCGGAAAAATACCCTCATCTTCTTTGCCCGCAGTCCTAGGATCTCAGACCCCCGACTCTGCTCAGCTTTCGGTTTGGAGAGCACGCCCTGGCTTATAATAGTAGATACACATATCCACACCCGAACCCGGTGATACACAGCTAGAGAGCGACAGCGAGCGAGCCCGCGCCTCAGTAGCAGCGGCCTGCAAGGCGGAACCCGCGCTGGCACGCCTCATGGGGAAGCCAAACTGTAGGAACCTGAAAAGAATAAGGCATTCTTTCTGTCCACGTTGCCAGGACTTCTCCAACCTCGACTCTCTTCGGCTTGTTTAATGCTACACCAGGGAGAAAAGGAGAGGCAATTTAGAGATCCCCAGCGAGGCAGAGAGGCATGCTCAACCGGCAAGGAAATGTGGGTCGAATCTATAGAGAACAAAATGTGGAGAGGGCAAGCCAAGACTGTGGGGAAAGGCAGATTGGAGGCCCCGAAAGGGGCTGGTGCGGAGGCTCCTCCAGGCTCCTGCGTGCTCTGGCATTATGTGAGAGGGAGAAAGCAGAAACCAAGAACAGAGTGACAAGAAAAGAAAAGAGACGCAGAAGGGGTTGGCCTAGGCACGCTGAGAGCTTCCCTCCAGCTAAGAGTCTGTAGTCAGAGGTGGGGGTGGGGGGAATGGGAGACGAAGTTGGAAGGCTAGGGGCCTAGGTTGAGCTCTTCTGCTCGGCCAGGAAGCACCCGGGGGTCCAGAACCCGTGGGGCTGGGCCGGGAGCTCAGTTCTGGCCCAGCGCTCCCTAAAGGCCCCCAGCCCGGAATCTAGCAAAGGCTGTGCCACTGCAGTCCGCCGCTGGGCCTCCCTCTGTGGAAGCCCTGGAAGAAGCCTCAGGGACCGACCCTGGTCTTACGGCTCCAGGTCGGAGCCGGCGCTGAGGGTGGGTGGGAGCCCAAGTCTAAGCGGGAGACGAAGAAAAGGCTCCGCCCTAAATCTGGGGGACCACTTCTGGGAACCCCTGAGGCCGGAGCTGGACTCGCAGGATTCGGGGTCCACGCAGCGCGCACGTGGCACCGCACCTTCGGCAGGCGGCGCTCCTAATGCCCAGCCCCTCCCCTCTTCATTTGCTCGGCCTGGACAGTGTCAAGGTTGAGGGTTGACGCCGAGTTGCCGCAAGCAGGTCCCTCGCGGTAAAGCTTGGGGCTTGCCCGGGGCCGGTGCCCTGGTGGATGGGGGCACCTCTCCATTCACAACTCCCAGGCGCAGAGCGCAAAAAGCGCGCAGCGCCGGCCAGTCGCCGCTGTCAGTTTTCAAGTGACGCTTGTGGAGGAAAGGGGCTGAGGATCGGTTTGGGTTAAAGCACCCAGTTCTGCTGCCGGTGGGGTCCTCTGTACCTAAAGGGCTTCGAGCTCCGGCTGCTGGCTTGCTGGGGCCCATGTGCCAGTGACTAGCTCCCTGGAAATACTCGGGTAGCGCTGGAAAACATGATCGGGCTGCGTTCGGGGGACCTGGTGCTCATGGTGGGTTATTGCTGTTGTTTTACTTTACTGCCTTTCTTACTTTAATTAAAAGTGTTATTGAGAGAAGCCTCAAAGAGCGCGGACCTGGGTCGTTTGGATGGGTTCATTTGAACTCAAACCCAGCAGTTCAATTCAATTCCACGATTGGTCTGGAGCACACAGGTATACACGGCAGACGTCAAGTGTATGTCGTGTACGTACGCACGGATAGGCGATCTGAAGGCAACTCATGGAGAATTTTGAGATAAAATTCACTCTCTTGGAGTTACTTTCAAAACACATGAATATGGAAAACAGGCAGTCAGTTGTGTTTAAAATTTGCCAGTATATCCCACCTAAGAATCTAAAACGGGGCATTGAAAAGATTCACTGGCACTCTGATTATTTAACCTTGAAAAGAAGTGTAAATCGGCTAAATTTACTTTTATATTCCCTTTTAAATTTAACAATATCAGAATTTGTAAATAATAAAATCATATTTTGCTAAAGAAAGTTTACGTGTAGGATGTTTTCTATCATTATTTATAGGAAAAACTGCTATATCTCCACATCCCTTTTTCCACCGATACTTCTCCATGTAATGTAAGCTTTAAATATTCATGCGCCAGCCCATTTATTTAATGTGTTTCAAACTAATAACATTTTAATGTAATATAATTTGATTCCACGAAGTATTCGAACA